TTCACACATGTTTAACACATAAATCTTGCATATTTAGTTCTTCTCTCAAACTGAAAACACTCTGTTCCACTTTGTGATGTCATATGGTAATACAGGAAGGGCTTCACTGTGTTTTTAAACTCCATATACCTTCACTAGAATCATTTGGATCATTTCAGCCCTACAATTGCCCAGTTCTATAAAACAAGCTATAAAAGGTAGTAGACATGTAACGATATCCAAGTCTCATGTTACGATAATGTCACGGTACAAAGCTCACAGTACGATATTTATTGCGATATTGTGGGAAAGCTCACGATATGGTGTAACCAATCTCTTAGTATGATATTTTCACAATATACATCTCACGGTACAATATTTATTGCGATATTTTGTGGAGGCTTTGTGAACAAAACTGTTAACATGCTACTTTTTCCTCTTAAAATGTCTTGGCAAGCCTTAATCCAAAGAACTAAAATTTAAAAGTGCTTGGAACTGTTATTTCTTCTTGAAGTCTACACTGAAATGAAGCAAAGGATCATGGTCTATGTAGTTCCCTCAGACTATTTACCTATTGCTGCACCATAACTCTTAATTTAAGCAGAGACTTGTAATGTAATGATCCACGATATTATTCTGCGAATTTTGATGATACGATATCACGATATTTAAGTTATTGTTACATCCCTAAAAGGTAGCTGTTAACTTGAAAACTACCGCTTCATGACTTCACAAGTTGGAACAGAGCATTTTGAGCTTTGGAGATGTAAATGGGCTTACACAACATGTGTGAACGAAACAAAACACAACTCCAGGTATGTTTTTGATGAGGTAATATCATAACTTAACTGAATAACTTAACTAAATTTGACCTGTCCCTCATCGGTTGGCCCGTAGAATGTTATGATGTCATCTGAAACCTAGAAGTAGAAGAAATTTCAAGATACTTTCTACAGACATTGAAGTGGCTTTTCTAAGTGGTTTGAATTATCCTGTTTTGCCATTGTCTCCTTGAGCTTGTTTCACTCACACATGTTTGAGTAACCCTGCATGATTAGTCTGTCTATATCGCCAAAGCTCAAAATGTTCTGCTCCACCTTGTGATGTCATGAAGCAGTAGTTTTCAAGTTAACATCTAATCTACCTTTTACCTTTAGTTCAGTAGAGATTGGCAATTCCAGAGCTGAAATGATTCAAATGATTCTGTGAAGGTGTGTGGAGTTTAAAAACACAGTGGAGCACTTCCTGTATTTACCACTAGACATCACAAGTTGGAACACGCTTTCAGTTTGAAAGAAAAAACTATACAAGGTTTGTGTGTTAAACATGTGTGAATGAAACAAAACACAACTCCGGGTGTTTTTGTGACGAGGAAACATTATAATTAATCAGAAAAAAAAAGCATAATATGGAACCTTTAAGCCTTGAACTTGGTTATTTGTTCGATCAATACCCTTTAGATAACTGTTTTTTCATATGTATATCAAGAATGTTCAAATGATTCATGTTTTACATTAGGATTGTCAATAGGCACTTTGGTATTCCCATAGGTACCGTCATGCCCTCATACTTCTATCACCCATTGACATTGACCCAGATCTTCAGAATAATTGAGATTTCTCTGCCATACATTTACACACACACTAAATTACACACTTTGGTGGAAGCACAAGGGCACCAGCCATTGCCTATACTGGACACGGACTTCAAAGTGCTCTCTCCTAGTCACATTTTATGTAAATAAGGTCATGCTATGGTCCGCAACTTGACGGAGAGGCACATCAAAAGAAGAGCACTGCTAAAATCCATATGAGAATGAAATATGTGGGACCATATGGAGATGACTTTGCACGGGAATAAATAAATAAATACAGGCATACTTACATACACACATACAGTACATACATACATACATACATGCAATATAATCATATATACATTTTTGCTGTCTTTATTTTATCTTTTGTCAATTTTTTTGAAAAAAAAAGTAATGACAAAACACACAGAACAAATAAACCTATGATCAAGAGGCCATAGAAGATATTTTAGGCAATATGAAAAGAGATTTTTTTTTTTTTTTTTGACATTTTGTTGAGCAGAACAAAAATCATAGTTGTGTAATCTCTCGGTAGTCCAGGTTAGTTCCATAGCAAACCAACAAAAGCTACTTGGATGAAGAGTAAATACTTTAAAACCTGCCAGTTATAATTTAAAGGTCTTATATTATTCAGAAAATTGACTCTTGTGAGCTTTAAAGGGACAGTCTGGAATTTTGGACATAGGACCTAATTTATTATTGCGCCAGATTGTCGATGTAAATGTCTGTGTTGATAAAATAATGTTTCAAATAAAACTAACCTTGCATCGCATGAATTGTCGCATGTATAGGGGCACTCCGGATTCCCCCGTCAACCCAAAACATGCTACATCGGTCTCCAAGAACAGTTGATAGTCAAGGTCAGTTAAATACAATCAATCAATGAACCTGTCCAAGGAGTACAGGTGGAAATTAGTGCTGATGCTACAACCTGACGTACAACCTGTTAAGGTAAATGCAAAAAGTGTGTCCTGTCCCTGTCTCAAATAAATGAATAAATAAGCAGCAGCGGAATTTTACTTTGCCTATAATAATCTATATATCAGTCCGCCGCTGCCTGCTTTCTATCAGGAAGTACAACAGCACTGCTGCTGCTCAGACATAAATCCTTCAAATGAAAAATGCAATGTTGGTTTGCAAGGTTAGTTTTACTTCATCGCAGACATTTACATCAATAGTTTGGTGTAATAATAGTTTTGCTTCGGGTGTTTTGTGGAGTGAGTAAGAGTGGCAGGCTAACTATGGCCATTGACATGCACTAGCCTAGCACCAGCGACCTCTGCAAATACAAGGACTGGATTTAATATTTTAAAAAGTGTCTCCACACGTCTCCAACACTCTGGCTCACTAGGAAATGAGGTCCGATGTCCAAAATTCCTGACTATTCCTTTAAGTTTTGTTAGAATGTTGTTATATACTCAAAAACATACCTTGAGTTGTGTTTTGTTTCATTCACACATGTTACTCTTCATTCTTATCTAATTTTTCTAGTTATATCTCCAAACCTCCAAATGCTCTGTTCCATCTTGTGAGGTCATGAGACGGTAGTTTTCAAGTTAACATCTAACTTTTACCTTTTGTTATGTAGAGATTCTAGTGAAGGTATATGGAGTTTAAAAACACAGTGGAGCACTTCCTGTATAACCACAAAGACATTACAAGTTGGAACAGAGTTTTTTTTTCAATTTGGGAAAAGAAACTCAGTCTACATATGCAGGATTTATGTGTTAAACATGTGCGAATGAAACAACGCACAACTCCAGGTCTGTTTTTGATGAGTACACAACATTATAACATAGATGAGAAAATAGCGCAATACGGGCCCTTTAATATATTTCCCATAATTCAATAAAAATATACAAAATTGCTGCGGAGTGCTATAGGGAGCGACAAGGACTTAAAAAGCAATCGGCTGAACAAACAGTGTCAGCTTGACGGTAATGGGGAACAGGGAACGTGTCAAATTAAATATAGATGCCTCTGTTATGCCATATGAAAAATACATGAAACAGCATCGACATCTGTATCAACCATGTTAACAGCGAGAGGGGGAGAGGGCGGGGAGTGATGCATTGTGGGTAAAAAAAAAAATGGAGGCGCAAAGATCTTGACAGTGTTTGATCTCTTGGCTCTTTTCTTCCTGCAGAATGGAGGGCTTTTTTGCTAAGATACCGATCGATACGTGGGCTTGGGCTGGCTTGATCCGCGGTGTTTAAGACGCTAATCGGGGGTCTTTGCTCACAGCGTTTAGACCGGTCCCGAGGGAGGCCCGGAGAACAGGAGGGATGGTAACACCGGTGTCATGACTCAAGACATGTGCGTGTGCGTGCGGTAGAATGGGCTTAAGTGGGATCATGTTCTTAGCATGTTATTAAAAGAGACATTTAGTTAAACATGTATTTCACTATTTTTCTGTTGGGGATGTTAATGCTTTGCCTGGAATACTGCACAGTGTGGCATTAAGTATATCTGACACTGTTCAGTTACAAATGAAAAAAAATCTAACTTTTGTTACATGCACATCAGAGAAAACCACAGACATCTTCTCTAATGCACAAAGTACTTACATTCTGTACATTTTTCACTAACACAATAGGGTATTGACGCTAAAACAGGCTGAAGTACGTCTCTTTGCATCACTGTGTTTGTTTTGATCATTCGGCCGCTTTGCCTTTGGCTTCTTTACAAACTTCAATAGTGCTCTGTGATTGGTGTGACCACCCAATGAACCGAACGGCGATTCTCGTGAGTTTGTGAAGTCACAAATATCACAAGAATCCATCTGGCTGTGTAATGTTAATTTTATCCAGGGATAATGAAAATTCAGTTGTTTCAATATCATCCCAAGGAAGTAAGGGGGAAAAAGATATCACTAGCCAGGCTGGCGCGATCTAGTGCCTCCGCTCAATTTCTTTTCTCTTCAGCGACTAGGTCAGGAATGGGAATACACAAGACGGTTTACAAGAACCCCAGAAGTTTTAGACCGCGTACCGGCCAATCAGCGAAGAGCTGTGAAGCCATGACTGGGTCCCTTTTGTGGTACAGCACAACAGTAAACAAAGCTTGGATGGATGTAGATGAAACCATACATTCTGTGTTGACTACGAGTCCCAAGCTCGAGGATTTAAAGCTGGAACAAAGAGAATGTTTGGTGAATTTTATCAAGGGGAAAGACGTTATTGCCCTTCTTCCTATGGGATTTGGGAAAAGCTTAATATACCAGTTAGCCCCGTTAGCAATGCACACGTCATGACCAAATGGCTTTGATTGAAAAAAGTCAGTTCACTCGCCTACAGTTGAGCGAATGAATCCTAATGCTGTGAGGTCGGACGGTTTCCACGAAGTGAAACCAGCTGATGAATCACGCTAAGATATTACAAAAAAAAAACTTACCTCTTACCTTCTCCATGTGTTTGTTTTGCAGTGGGAAGAAACCAGTATGAGAAGATGGGCAGTGACGTGACCATGCTGTGTGGCTCTCTGGACAACAGCACGTCCGTCACTTGGAAGGTGAATGGGACCGACGTGAGGGCCCCGCACAGAGTGGAGGGGCCCCGGCTCCTGCTCACCCACGTCAACAGCAGCCACAACGGCCTGTACAGCTGCTTCCAGAACCCCCACGGAGAGAGACGCGACTCCATCAACCTGCGCATCGGACGTGAGTACCTGTCATACGCTCTCATTGCTGGCTTTAGGCGGTTTTAAGGGTTTCAGGTGGAAAATGTTGAAGTTATGAAGGTGTGATGGTTACCAAAACTATGCAGTGCACTTCATCTATATATTTAGGGACTTTGCAGTATCTACTATTAGGACTGTAGGCCTTTCAGTGGTGTAGTCACAAAATTTGTATTAGTTGAGAAGCGTTGATAGTGCCTGATTTAGTGAGATTTAGTGGATTTGGTAATTTTTATATTTAGCATTTAAGCTGTCTTTATATAAATACATTGTTTCCTAGCACTTTTTTCTGCATAAATAGTTGTTTTTGCATGCAGATGTAGTTTGTGATTGCAGTGTGGGTCAAATATATGGTGGTCAACAGTGAACACTCCAGTTTTGGACGTACATGTTTCATTCATTTTCCTCATAGACTTTCAAAGACATTGCACAGCTACACGCTAACTAATATTCATAACATGGTTGATGGTTGAAGTCCAAGAAGGCTGCTTAAAACAAAAGATTCTGCTAAATGTTTTAATAACTTCATGGTTTATAAAGTTTAAAAGTTTCAGAAGCACATTGTAAAGAAAATAACAGGTCTTTTGTTAGTTTTTTTTTTATTTATTTTAAGTCTATGTGAAAAATGACTGGGACATTTTGTTCCGGAACCGATGGTCACTGTTCTGTTGACATAGATAATAGTTTTGAGAGCTTTTGCCACACTCCCATTTTGGTTGAATAATAGACTCAAGACATGTCCTGCTGGTCAATGAGGAATTCCTTTAGTTGATTACAGCGCTATCTGCTATAATTGTTAGCAATGGTTGTTGGAAGGGATGCTTATCGGAAGTTTGAATTATGTCATTATGTTGTGATCATAGACTGTATAAATAAATGGACGTAGCTAATGCACTAGCCACCGTGTTTCAATGGCGGCTCTTCTGGCTCCTACTGACCCTGGCTCCCATTCACTTACATTGGAATATTGTCGCCCCTCTCTCTCTAACTGCTGCAGTGAGTCTTGTCATTTTGGTCTAAAAATGTTTGTATTAACCTGCTCCACATGATCCTGGTGTTTTTTGTTTTTTTTTTCAGTATTCTGTCAGTCAAAAAAATCCTATTCATAATATAGAGCCTGGCTCCAAATTTTCCCCGTAACCGTTACCATTGTGAGCTTCTTTTGAGTGGAACTGAATGCTGTGGGTGACGTCACATTCACTTAGTGCACATATATGTTATTAGGTTCTTTTCTCAGACCAAGAGCTTTCATTCGTGACAGTTTTGACTGCTCACTAGCTCACTTCTGCAGAGTGACTTAGGAATTATCGGAAGACCAAATGAACGTCACTGGACCATTTCGCTTAGTCCACTTTTTGATACAATCTATGCTTGGGATATACTATAACACTAAAAGGTTTCTATTACCGTAAAAGGGAAAACAAAAATGTTTAAAAGCTATGGACAACAACCCCATTGTTACCCCCTGGGCATTACTTAACTGATGAAATTATTTGGAACCAAATCGCATGCAGATTTTTCATTTTTAATTCAGTAGTAATAGTATGACTGAGGCATATTTTAAAAGAATAGTTTGAACAGTTTGTGCTTGGGTTAGGGTTCGTAGCTGTGGTTCACAACACTTAAAAAAATGCAATAAGTGATGGCAAAATAATTACTGCATTAGTGTTTTGAAATATATAAGCTGATTGTAAAAGTATGAACACTTAATGGATACGCAAAGGCTTAGAGTAACTGAAAGTACTGTCTTACTACTCAACTTGTTGGAGAGTTCCGTTCCGCATCCTCCCCAACTGCCTTCCCTTTATAAGCTATTGCGTGTCAAAGTGGCCCAAAACAAGCAGCACCATTAAACAAAGCACCACTATCCTATTTTCAGAACAATGAAACTCACAGATTTGCAAACAGTGTCAAGTGGTGACATTACGCTGTGCAGTTAACGGCACTTGAAACAATGCACTCCTAAATTACGCAAATCATCAAATCATCATTATCGTCTAGTGGCCTGTTTCGCTTGTTTTTCAAATTGATTAGGAACACAACCACTTATTTAGCTCTTGTTTCGTCATAAAAATGCACAGTGGGCGGTTTCATTAGATGTTTAGATGGATTTGTTTAGTTTAGAAAATGTATTCAATTGGGTGGTCTAACTAGGGGTCTCCACAGTTTCCAATATAAACAGCTTTTATTTGCATTTATTTTTCTATTGATGTCGTCGTAAAGGGGTACAATTGCACATCAAGATTGATTCCGCAAACTCACGAGAATCCGTCTTGGTTCCCGCTGGTGCTATAGGGACCAACAAGTGGAGACCGAATAAATCACTTCACAGCGCTGAAATCTGCGTGGAAGCCAAAGGTGAAGTGCCCAAATGAACCAAAACAAATGTGGCGACACCGACAGATGTACTTTGGTCTATTTTAGCATCAGTACAGATGATTTAGCTTGTGAAAAACATGCCGAAGATAAGCGGACACAGAAGATGTCTATGCTTTTCTCGCATCTGGATGTAAATAAAGTTGTTCCGTTGTTAGAATTCTTCGACCAATCAGATTCAAATGAGTACAGGTACAACAGGTATCAGGTTATAACTTGATTCCGCATAAAAATGTATGAGATAAGTCTATTACTGCAGGTCGTACTTGGCTCAGAAGGTCTCATAAGGTTTCATACTTTCTTTAAAATCTGTCCTGTCTGTCCTTGAATCAGTTTGGTTTTATTTGATGTACCAGAGCAGAGATCTTACTCACTCTACAATGGTATCGGTTGATATCGGTTGTTGGCAGATAGTATCCAAACAGTATCAGAACTGAAAGAGCAGGGTCGGTGATTTGCTTATTTGTAGGAAATGCTTGAAAGCTGATTGGGATCATTGGGAGCAACGTCAGATCTAATGTTCCTCCAAGCAAAATTTGACTTTCGAGCCCTTGTCACTTCAGTTCCACTCAACTTAACTGTCGATTATTCACAAAGATGTTTCGCTGTCATCATCTGAACAAAACACAGATTGCAATTTGTGGTAGAATAGTCTTGTCATTCGAAAAAATAGCTTCATTTTAAACACAAACAACTACGGTACTGTTACTTAAACTTAGCCCTATAGTCCAGTCTTTTCCTTTTTGTAAACCACACCTAAATGAAGAGCTCAGAAAACCACAAGCTGACACTGGCGCAGCTTTGGTTCTGTTTAATCAATAAGTCACCAGCACTGTGCATTGATCCAGAGCGACCACCCACTGACGCACAGCAGAAATGAGTCAGGCAAAGAGATGGAGAAGGAGGGATAAAACTGTCTTCTATACTCCAAAATGTACCGCTGTGCTTACAAGATCTGTGGATTATATTTACGCATAAAATGAATTGACTTATTATAATTTTTGTTTTACAATGTCTATTTGTGGAGATGCAAATATTTCTACAATGTTTCAGTGAAATAAGATGACCTAGTTACCATGTCATCCTTTTCCATTAAAGGGACCATATACACACAACCCGAATTTCGGACTTCCAGTAATCGCGCAGTGCATACTGGGAAGAGCTCTCCGAAAAAAGTGAGCATCAAACCATCAAATCTTTTCAAGTCTTTTGAACCATATCACTTTTGTTTCTGGTTCTGACATTGTCATATTTTGGTTGTGGGATTCAGACATCGTAATTGTGTGGTTGCTGGATGTCCTAATAGCAGAAAACTGCAAAAGGAAATCAGATATGTGTGATTGCAAACCTCCGTTCAAACTGTTTCCCTTCCCAACGGAATTGAAAAATAAGTATTGATACACAGGAAGGACCAAAAAGGAAACTTATGACTGCCTAAATCATCCCGAGTCCTTTGTTAAGCGAGAGGTACAGAAGACGAGCAGGCTGAGCTTGCACTTTCTTGTTCGACTGACTTTACAACAACATCACACCTTAGTCGCTTTGCAGTGGAAGGTGTTTCTTGGTGAACAGCTGGTGCCTTTCACTTTGGCATTGATTTTTTAAATTCATAACCAAGATTGAGCGAGTGATCGGGATTTTGCTTTGTTGGCACTTCCACATACAAAATGTTCACCACACATTTGGGATGGTTTCTTTGGAAGCCAAAAGTTACCTTTTTGGTCCTTCCTGTGTATCAATACTACCCATCGCCTTTGCCTTTCACTAATTTTTCAATTCCTTTGGGAAGGGAAACAGTTTGAACGAAGGTTTGCAGCCACACAGATCTGATTCCCTTTTGCAGTTAGGGAGTTTACAAACTTCCAGTGTTAGGACATCCAACAACCACACAATTAAGATGTCCGAATCCCATAACTAAAATATGACAATATCAGAACCAGAAACAAAAGTGATATGGTTCAAAAGACTTGAAAAAATCGACTTTGACAATAGACGCATCCCACTGGGAAAACAAACATGGCGATTTGATGCTCACTTTTCGCTTTTCAGAGAGCCCTTCCCAGTATGCATTGCACAATGACCGGACGTTCAAAAATCGAGCTGCATGTATTACACTATTTTCTGATCTGTTACAATGTCGTTTCCTCATCACAAACAGGAATTTGTGGTAATACACTAATACAAGTATCCACCCAAACTTTTCAAACTTGATACACATTCTTTTTCAGATACTTTTTTTTATGGTTATTGCTTGTGTGCATTGTGTTGCCATGGTAACTAATGAACATTCAGCCATACAAATGCATACTATTACACCCCCAGCTTGACATCCGTGCAAAGTATATTCTTGTGAATATTGCTTTGTTGAGGTGTACATGTAAAATTTCCATGCACATTCTTGATAAATGGGACAGTACGCATGTGTGACAGTTTGGTTAATCATTGGCGTGATGATCGATGACTGAATGCTAACGTGATGAAGAATTAATGGGACTTTTATGCAGGGTGAGATTGTGTCATAGAGGTGAATGATGTAATTCATAAACAGCACGCAAACCCGGTGCATGTATGTGAGATATGGCGTTCTCGTAATGTGCAGTTCTACAA